TTACATTGACTATTGCACATTTGTATAAGATTGACACGAGAGAACCCAATGGAAACGGCATAGTCTGGCCACCGAGCACATATATATCTTCTTGGTCTTTACAGTGGACATATTATTCCATACCTAACCTAAATGTATCCTTTACAGGTTCATACTATCAACCTATGACTGCCACAATGGGACGACCAGTATTACCAGTGTTGTGAATTCGTAATGAGATTTAGATTAGGTGGTCATATCACGGCAATTCTACAACGTTGGATTAGTTTTATTTTTATTACATTGATGACACTGACTTTAGGAGACGTTTATCGCTCCTTATATTCTCCATATTCGAAAGGAATTTGATAAGTGGTACTCAATCAAATACATTCCTAAAGTCAGTATAAGCAACACCTACCGACTTTTCGTTTTCAAGCGAATTTGCATGTCTTTCACATTCCATAAAGATGTTAGTCGTCCAAGATAATCCTTTCGCGAAACCATCTTGTTCACTTATTAACAAGCTGTTGAGTTCTGAAAAGATCATAATAGCTTTTTGTAAATATTTTTCCAGTAGAGTGACCTGTGTACCTGTATTTGAATGGATGCTGTCTGAATCTTGCATTATTGTTAGGATAGTCGGAAAAAGAGACCAATAATTACCATGTTAAGTTCAATGGTGTCCTTGAACCTTAAATGTACATTTCTTATTGGTCGATGTTTATTTCACTTGTTAAATATTGTACAAATGTTGTTTCCTATTTTATGGTACGATGTGGTTTGTTTGCTTGGTATATAAATAGAGTATGTTTGAAATACAATGATTCATAACCCAGAGGCTGTGACTTGTGTTCTTCACTCAACTGGGCTAGGACGGACAGCGAAGCAGGGCCAATCAGGGCACTAGGTCGTCCGTACGTGTTTTCCGTGTCACTGTCACAGAAGCGATCGATAAATAACGCTGCTTATCAAAAACCTGCAGTCACACACACCCGTTACAACAATTATGAAGCCATAATTATGTCCCTTTCAATTTACAGGTAACTCACCAAGTGAAATCCTCATTATAGTGTTCAGAGGTTGATTAGTGAATAGTGCATTTCGTATCAGGTTTTTAAGGTGTAGCTAATCCGATACTACTCATTTTCCTATCGCTAAAGAAATATACGTTGAGTTAATCGTCTTAATTGATATTCACTGTGAGTAGTCGATTTAATGGTAAGGGTTTCGAGTGTAGTCCCTCACCACGAACAATTGTGGAAATTTAGAAGGGAATCAGAGCACACTCAATACTGATTAAAACTTGTTATGTGGGTATCATGTCAGTGTCCTTCAAATCGAAATCTTTCATCCATAACAGAACATAAATTTATCTTTTGTATATAGCGTATCTCACGACACTAGTTTTATCGGTGTGTGACAACTTAGGTTGATTGGTTAAGACTTGGCCAACAACGCCCTCGTAATATCGAAGCATCATAGCACAAGTATTCACTCACTTCCTGATTTTGTATGAGGGTTGTACTTCCTTTAATTGAAAAACGTGGTGAAAAGTTCTGCTATTCAGCTTCATGAAGTGAATATTGTTCGCAGGATGTGCAAAAATATGGGTTAATGGTCAGTCAAGAGAACAAATTTGCGACGCTATAACAGGAAGTTGAATTGTATTACATTATTGGAATGGTATCATATAAGTATGAAAAAATCACATTATATATGTTTTCTTTGATAACATTCTCTTGTTCTTTTTACTCAAATGTACCCTTTCTAGTACTATTGTCTATATTTATGCATATTTATTTTTAATTTTGGTTTATTTTTGATAGTAATACCACATTTTTTAAGTTTTTGCTGTGTGGTCAATTCTTGAGTGTCCCTGGAATTGTCGACTCCCAGTTTGCTTTCATTGTGCTTAGCATTTTTATTTCTAGCAACCATCGTATTGGACGACCGTCTTTTTATGAAACAGTTCGAGTTAGATGATCGATCTGTCCCTGGTGTGGTAGATGTTAGATTTCATAATTGTTAGGAAATTAATGGTTTTCAGCAGTTAATGACTCACTTCGGGGCTATTTAATTAGTGATGTTTCTGCCTTTTTGTTAGAACACTATTCCAGGATTTTTAGTAACTTCTTTACATTTTTACCGGGCAATTGTCGCATATGCTTAATGTTCGGCTATTTACTGTTTCTGGTTGATTACACAAGTGTGTCATCACACAGTGGATGTACCTGATGGAGAAAGCATTGGTATTGTATATTTTGTTTCATTTTCAATGACATCTAACTATTCATTACCATTCGTCTTTATTGCGATTTACAGCTTCCCTCGTCACTATTAATAATTTACCATCCGTAATAACTTCTTTCTTTTGGCTACAAATAAATATAGGTCCATGAAGGTAGGCACAAATGTGTAGTGACACACAGCTACTGTACAGGAGAAGTTTAAAACGTCTGACAGTTGTCATATTCATTTATATATCGAATTCTCTCCTTCTCAACGTCAAAATCTCCCAAGCATTTTTATAGTTATTGATCATATGGGACAGGCTTTACCAAACAATGAAAAATCAACAGGAGCATTGTATTAGTATTTTACGATCGTGTATCATAGCCACTTGTTTTGAGACATAAAGTCAAGTACTTTAGTTCCATACGTTTACTGGACCTCTGGCAATGCATCAAACCTGGGCTAATGAGTTGGCTGAGCGATTTTAACCGGTTTAAAATCCCAACAATGTTCTTCGCCAGTGTGATGTCTGAAACCTTGTCAAGCCCATGCGAGTTATTCTAGCTTCAAGACAGGTCCGTTCATTAATTCTTCTTGAGTCACATTTTGATTCAACTAATTATCAGCTTATTAACATTCAGTGCCTTGATATGACCGTATGTGTGTTTGTAGGGATATTGGTCTTAACCCCAAAATCCTCAAAGCTGAACATTAGATGACTGGGAAAACAGATATTCGGGGTCTAACGCGGAAAGAAGGCCAACAATGGTGAACTCGGTGATATTCATTCAGTCGGATGGCACGGCACCGTCTTGCAGAAGTGGTCATTTTGTATAACTTGACTTTATTCACATTGAATATATTGTCCTATTTTCAGCCTAAATGTGTTCTTCAAAAGTAGTATGTATCACACTGTTAATTGTTACAAGACGATGAGTCGGTGTAGATAATGATGTGACTTCCACGTAAGACCATATAAATTAAGCAATCACATGATGACATATCTACAAATTTAGGATTAAGTCTATTCTTATAATAGTACCAATGACAAAGTAGACTGTGATTCTACATCGATGAGCACGACATTTTCTTTGAATCGAGCAAGTGACAAAAAGATCAACTGCACCAAGCACTTTGGAACTAGTCACAATATTGCGTGTTTAATCATGTTGCTTTTGGATCATTACTACTCGTCACAAATGGCCTTATGTATGTCAAATCTGTATGAGGATCTAATTCTTGAAAATAAACCATATTTTAATTACTTATGCTATTCATGATATGTCCGTAACGTATTTTCGTTTGACCATCAATATGAATTCTCGCTTGATTAAGTAGAGTTGGGTCACTCACCTTCCCCTCTGTGTGTTATTTTGTTTCGCTTCGCTCTCTATTCGCTTTGCTGCCCCTTATTCTGAGTCTCTGTCTGTATAAAAAAATGCCTGAAATAAATCTCTTCAACCCCACTCGTATTTGGCATCTTATTACCACCTTTACAAAACCGGGGTTGGCCTAGGTAATATACGGAGTTAAGTGTACGTTCATAGCGTATCCATACGTTCATCGAAGTCGGTGTCACTTCAGTTGGCACCACAAAAACAACACAATGGAATTGATTGATACCTTGTCTTTCCTTAAAGTACATAGAAGTTTAAAACGACATAGGTTGCACGACCTTAGAATTAGTCACTGATACGACATTAGTCTTCTGAGGGCAGCCTTTCAACAACGGTGACAAATTCCAATCCAGTTTATCACTTATATTCATACTTACACAATAAAGTTTTAAGCTGTAAGAATAATATCTAGGTTTGCATCATGTGCATTCTTCTTTGTTGTTAGAATAATAGACCTAATCCCGAAATTGCAGATTTTCCATCATGCAACTACCTGATCTATAAGATATTATACGGAAAACACATCATTAATTATTCTGACGCGTCCTACAGTGACAGTCTGCAATATGGTTTTTAGGACTTCTGAAGAACACATTTGGGCAGAGCATAAAATAGTATATTTAATATGAAAAAGAAGTTAAAAAAAGCGACTTCACTTACATCATCAAGCCATGCTGTACAGATTCTATCTTCCCGCGTCCACCACTTCCGACCTTCTCTATGGTGTCAAACCTTGAGTGTTAATCCTTTCAGTAACCGTACTTTTGGTTTCGAGGATCGTGTGGTTGAGAGCGAACATAATTACCAAGCTGCTTATGTATCCACGGTACTTCCATTTATCATTTTATACACAATTTATAAATCAGACGTTCATAAATGAAATAATCGTTAGTTTTTTGGTCCTATTAAGGCGGTACACTATATAATTATCTTCACAGTTAAAGATTCACGGAGGCTTTCATCGACACGTCCATACGTTCTCCAGTCATTTTCCAGCTCGGTATACAAATTAGAAATGAATTCATCAACTTTTGTCACATATCCAAAACATGGATGATTTAGCAGCCATATGCGTAAACTGTCTAAAACATTCAACTGGCTCTTTTTGAAACCCTGATGTTGTCGTTAAAATAGCAACTGTAATTGGTCGGAAGAAATAGCCATTTTTTGAATCAGCACGGTAATGAAAATTACTGTACGACTAATTAACAATCAATGTCGTTGAATGACACCGGCGAGAACCCTGTATGCTGATTACTGGGAATAATTACACTGAATTTTGTCCAATTACTGACTGATCTTGATTCGTTAATTTGAAGATTGAAGGCTTGGAATTTTTTTTCACCACGTCACCAGAGTGTATAAAAATATTCGAAAACTTTCTGTTTGATGTTAAGTTCAAAGAAAAAAAATTATTTTAAACTTGAAGGTGTAACTATGAAAAATAGGTCATTTAAATTATATGATAAAAACCTACTGAGTATAGTATCTAAGCAATGTGTTCAGATTATCTATACAAGAAAATATGAATTAAAAAGATATTTTCAATATAAATGAATAGAGTAGTGCTTTTAATTCATGCATTTATTAGTTTTTATTGATAGATGAATTATTCACTGCATAATTTATCAGTTAATGATTTTAAAGGTGTAGTCAGTCAGTCAGTCAACTACAAACGTAGGATCAGGCACATATATACATCAGTCCAAGTTGCCATACCGCATTAGCACAACAAGATGGACACCGAATTCATAAAAGAAGTTAATTCAATAGTGGTGATATATAAAAGAAAGATTTCATATAAGGATATAGTATAGGAAGAAAGAATTAGTTTGTAGAAAGAAAGATATGAAGCAATTTTAATATAATAGTTTGAGGGAAGACAGAAAGTATACACACCTACTCCATTGTGATCGATTCTGAGCCATGTCATCCACAGTCTCCAACCATTGGTTACGATAGTCACGCGCACCACAACCAATTAGTCTGCATCTAACAACATAACTCAGACCAGAAGTTAGTGACTGTGTGGACTGATGCCAGGTTTTGGTTTGGCCGCCCCTTACTTTCTTCCAGTCATTCCCAACACTAGTCAGCATTGCGTGTCATGGTAATCGGTGTTCAGACATATGTCACACGTGGTCCAACCATCTCAGTCGATGAAGATTCATCAAGTGATCCACCATCATTCCCTAAAACCCTGTATCTGACCTCACTATTACTTACCCGGTGATCCCAGCAGATGCGAGCAATGTTTCTAAAACATCTTTGATCAAATACTAGTAGCTTACGAGTATTTTCTACTCTTAGTGGTTATGTTTCGCAGAATTCTTAAACCACCTTTTCACTCATACATTTCCACTCACTTGATTCTCTTACATTATGTGAATTCTTCAAATTCTATTCATTTCTTACGTAACCCATCTTATCAGTTTTCAATTCCATGAATCCTTTATTACCTCTAAAATTATCACACAATTTATGTTATCGGTCTCTGAACTCCACTCAACTATTACATCACCGATTCCTAGTGGTTCCTTCATTTTAACACCAAGTAACCTCTTTCTTGTTCTTGCATATATATACATACACACATATAAATTCACTTGATTTTGATTTTATTTGTGTCTTCCCATTGTTGTTTAGGACTGCATGTGGTCAGTTTGATGTAGGCATATGTGCATCCTGTGCGGATTGCTTCGATAGTGCCTTCAGTCACAAGCTTTTTAAGCAAAGATGGATAGTGGCTAGCAGTGGAACCGAATTTGACGCATGTTTCGTCCTATTTTCGACTCATCAGTTGGATGAACCTGCATCCCAGAGTTGATATTCACTCCGATATAGGAAACCTTTGTCATCCCAATTCTTTACATTCACTTATGTCAATTGTTCCATACTATTTCTTATCTCAATGTGAAATTCTAATACATATCAGTGGTTATAGGCAGCTGATGAGAACCCACGAAATATAATGAATGCGTATTATTCTGCATCAGTATTTATTCCGGCTTTATTTACATTCGATTATCCCCATTGGTGTTCTTGTTTACTACAGATAGTAACTACAATCCAATTTAAAGGATGTAGCATGTCATTTTTTTCTTCGAAAATATTATATGCTACATTTTATACATCAATAATTCATCGATATTTCATCAACGAGAACTAATCGCATAGATTTAGTTCACTACTACTACTACTACTACTACTACTACTACTACTACTACTACTACTACTACTACTACTACTACTACTACTACTACTACTACTACTACTACTACTACTACTACTACTACTACTACTACTACTACTACTACTACTACTACTACTACTACTACTACTACTACTACTACTACTACTACTACTACTACTACTACTACTACTACTACTACTACTACTACTACTACTACTACTACTACTACTACTACTACTACTACTACTACTACTACTACTACTACTACTACTACTACTACTACTACTACTACTACAATTACTACTACTAATACTATTATTGCTACTAATGCTACTACTACGACCAATACTACTACTACTATTACTACTACTACTACTACTACTACTACTACTACTACTACTACTACTACTACTACTACTACTACTACTAATACTACTACTACTACTACTACTACTACTACTACTACTACTACTACTACTACTACTACTACTACTACTACTACTACTACTACTACTACTACTACTACTACTACTACTACTACTACTA